AAAGGGAAAATCGGTTAACGTAGTAAAAACTTTTACATTCTTGCATGGTCTGTTCCAGAATCTGCAAGAATCTCCTACATTTGAAACTTTCTCCGATATCATAAAGGGAAAATCGATTATGGTAGTAAAAACTTTTACATTCTTGCAGTTCTGGAACAGACCAGCAGTTTTGGAACAGACCAATAATAAAGGGATACCAGAGCACTTGAATCCTGCCGTCGTTATCCATTTTTGGAATTCAAAATTATTTAAATTAGTGAATTTTTTTTTTTTTAAATCACATTTCCTATCATCCTCTGAACGGCAGCGTATAAGAAAAGATTCTAAAATCCATATATTTTTGGCACGATAACCGATTTTACCTTTATGAAATCGAAAAAAATTGCAAAAATGGTAGATTCATGCAGGTTCTGGAACAGAGCAAATGTTTGCATGCGCTGATGCCAAAAAATTTAGTTGTGTTCCAGAACCTACAAATTAGTACTAATTAGTACTAATTCTGCTACAACGCGTTCCCGTACTCTAAAAACTAGCAAAACTTGCAGCTCTCTCGAGAAAAAAATGGCGCTGAGTGGTGCACATTTCTGCTTGTTTTAGCTACATGAATTTGACCGAGCAGAAATGTGCAAATTGTGAATTTGACATTTAATTGACAGGGCTAACAAGGTTGAAAAATGTATTGATACATTTCAATGTTCCCGCGTCATAATAAAGAAATGATCAACTTAAAAACTAAAGGAAAAACTAATATTTGTAGTGCAAAAAAAAATGGAAAATATGGAGCACTTTTGGATGATTCCAGTAGTGAAAAGGTCTGGCTGAATGATGAATCAGATTATTAATTATTATTATAGATTATTAATTTTAACGTATCGTCTTCAATACTAATTTTTTTAAATTTTGGCGTCCGTTTCAGTAAGGTTTCACCAGTCCGATTTGGACTGTTTACTCTTGGAATTTTGAATTTTGACATTTTATCGCATTTCTGCTAATTTTCCGTTCCCTTATTTTTTGAGCACACCTAATTGAGAATGACATTTCGAACTGTTCTCTCTTCTGCTAGTTTTACTACTACAAAAGTACTGGAACACAACTTTTGTTGTAAAAAATAAGTAGATTTGTATGTTTTCTTATATGACACAAATCGAAGGTTGTTATATATTTTCAACAATTTTCATTTAAAATGTTCAATTTCAAAATTGACTTGACAGATCATTATCCCAGCACCTATGTCGATGTCGACTAAATGTATTCTTCTACCCTGCTATTATGCATAAAATACATGTAAACATCACCTTAGAAAAAGAAAACATCCGCAATAATTCAATGTAAATTTATTTATTCTAGATAATAAAAAAAATTTGTTAATTCTTTCAACACTACATTACTTATTTCGAATTTCTAGTTTTAGTTTCAATTTCCCTACTTAAGCATTATCCATTGCCTCGATTTCGTATAGTAACTGTTGTTCTGCCTTAACCTTCTCATGTTCGTCCACTCCAATGCCAGCTCCCAGGCGCTGTAAATCTCCATCACCTGTGACAATTTCATTTTGCATGTCATGGGTCAACTCTTCGACAACGACTTCTTGTTGTTCCAAATGTTCCTGTTTAAATTGGGTTAACTGGTTATGTGTTTGCTGGTGTGGATGATGAGGATGATACAATGACTGTTGGCTTTCATCACACTCATAGTGTTCATCAGCTACTTGTGACAACTGGTGTTGTTGTTGCTGCTGCTGTTGCAATAACTCCTGTTCGGCCTGTTGCTGTTCGTCGGTTTTATCTTGAAACAATTGTCTGCCCAATTTTTTGCGACACTGCAATGACCTTCGATGGGCATCAAAGAAATCTATGTGATTGAATTCCAGGCCACATATGCGACACTCAAATTTACTTTGGTTTAGATGCATTTCTTTGCGATGCTGGGCCAATTTGTGGGTATCCTTGAAACGCATATCACAGAACGGACAGTCCAACAAACGTCGATCACCATAGTGGACATTTCGTACATGTTCATTCATGGAGAATTTTCTTAAGAACTTCTTGCCACAATGTTCACATTCATAGTTACGCTGTTGTTCGTGCACCAGCCGGCGGTGGTGTCTCAGCGAGGTATTTTGGGCAAAGGTCTTGCCACAATGTTCACAAATGTGTTCTTTGGCCAGATGACGTCTCTGTTCATGTACCTTTAAGTCCTGCTTGGTGCAATAGTACATTTTACATGGCACGCAAACATAGGGTCGTATACCCACATGCCGTCTCGAGTGACCAGCCGCATAGGCCCTTGTCACAAAATCATCTTCACAGTAAATGCATTTAAATCTTTTCGTTCCGGGTTTCAGGTGGGTCTTCAAGTGGGCATCTAATTTTGATTTGTGCATGATGTCAGGGCACACACCACACTCAACGGGTAACTTGTCAGCCTCCTTGTCATCTGACACCACAGAGAATTCCACAATCGGTGCACCATCTTCCTCATCGTAGTCCACAATCTCGGCACAAATACCATCAAATAGTAAGAATTTCTTTGGCACTTTGGGTACATTCAAACGCTTTCGCTTCTTCTCCAACTCCGACCATGGCAAATACGTTTGGGCAGGTGTTTTAGTTTCAACTTCGACAACTTCTTCATGCTGATACGTTTCCAACTGAACACCAGCGTCCGGATCATGGTCGTCCATTTCATCGTGTACCTCTTCGACAAACATCATTTGACCATCTTCACCAATCATGACGGTGTCTCCATGATCTTCAACAATTTCATGTCCCTCACCATCGCCCAGCACAATGATTTGCGATGAATCATCTTCCAAATCCTCGCCATCGGCCAACACAACATAGCCATTGTCAATGGTGATGTACTCGTCTTCAACGATGGATTCAGTTTCATCACTCATTTCGTGGATATTCAAAAAAAATCACAAAAATCACCGATGTTTTTTCGGTAGCCGAAGGAAAAAATTACCAACGCTGTTGACGAAGTGAACGTTTGCAAGGGATATGTTCACTGAACTGAACTAAAGGAACCTGGGCAGTTCTTTTATTTATTTTGTTCCTTAATATCATTAAAATGTTTGGTGTTTCTTTTAGTATGAATACAAGGAAGGCAAGTATTAAATATTATAAAAATCTAATATTTATTATTTTTCTGAGACACATTTGGTAACATTTATTCCCCTTAAAATGGAATTTTTTGGAAAAAATGAAAATTTTCACAATTATCAGAAATTATAATTTAATGTTCGAAAATGTCAACTGATTTTATTTTTTTTCCATAATTTGGTAATAGTTAATCAATATAAATGGGAATTCCCAAGACATTTTATTTTGAGAATGGGAGAATGATTTATTTAGACTAATATCCATGGCAGAAGAATACAGGTATATGCATCAACGCTTGGGAACATTGATATGTCAAAAAAATTTAAATGTTTTTTCAAATATAAGTAGTTTTTTATATATTTTCTTATACTACGTCATTTGGAGGCTATAATAATTCGGATTTTTTAACAATTTTTACAAATTTAAATAATTTTTCATTCAACATTTTCAATTCGAAAATTGGTTTGACAGTTCATTGTCCTAGCAGCTGTGTCCTGTGTACCATGGTAATATATTTGTTTGTTTTCTGCATCCATATTCTTTTCTGGTATATACGTGAAAGGCAAGTTAAAATGAAAACAAAAAAAATAAGGTGCAAGTAAATTTGCCTACTCTAAATCGGGTTTTTTTCATTCCATTTATTTATATGTTTAGTAGGTTTAAATTGTCAATTTAAAGTACGTTTACATGGAAAACTTTAAAATGAATTTGCCTATGAAAAGCATACGAAAAATTTATTGTCGGCAGGTGATAACAACGAATTAGTGAAAACTCTTGCAAATGTTGACTCAGTAAAATGATTAAATATTGCGTTCCCAAAAAAATTAGATAAAGGGGTAATAATTTAATTTAAGTTGTAATAAAGTACAACTCTGACACACAACAAATTCCAAGGTTATACAGAAATTACGCACATAGAAATATAGCAATTAATTAATTTTCTCATGGGAATTATGTAACTCTTTTACTCGTACAAAGATTTGAACGGCTTTCGTTTGCTAAATTTAAAAAAGGGCCACTTCAACGAAGCCCTGGAAACATTGATTTTCGAAATGCTTTTTTTCGAAATTTTTTTCGAAAATTTTTATAATTTTTCTTATACGACGCCAATCGGAGTTTGTAATGATATGAAGTTTTCAACAATTTTTACAAATTTCAATAATTTTTCCATGGTAGAATCAAAGAGGTAAAGTCATGCAATCATATGTTCACAATTTTTTCAAAAATTATTCATTTGACAACATTTTTTGTCAAAATTTGTAATTTTAAATCCATTGTACATACACAAATCAGAGATGGGAACCTGTTTTTATGTAGTGAAATGTGACAAGGTAAATTACAGAAAATGCGGAGATGGGTATGCTTATTTGAAATGACTTTACCTTCTTAATTTTACCATGAATTTTTCATTAAAAATGTTCAATTTCAAAATTGGTTTGACAATTCCAACAGCTGTGTTGATGTGACTACCTGTATTCTTCTACCATGAACCAAGCGTAGAATAAATCAAATCAAAGGTGAAAATACCTAAAACCATAGTACAATAAGGAGGAAGAACAGCTTCTTAAAACTACAGAAATACAGCCCTGAGGCTATACCCGCTTCTGTCAGATTCATTTAAAATTACATGCAACAAGTTGTTTAAATTTTTCATATTTCTCCTCATTTTTAAAATAAATTAAATAGCGCGAGAAATGAATGAAATTCCTGGAGTTTTAGGTTAACTTAGTTCGATTTTGGCCCTACAATCCTTTGTTCTTTTCCGTAGAAGCCAGCCGATGACTTAAGCTAGTCAAAAAAAAACGTTTTATGATTCTCATCTTAACAACGCAGATGTAAATGTAGCCTTAGCTGGAATTAACCAATGTCGATTTTCACATCCCTATGATATTGTCAGAAGTCATCTTACATATCCCTACTCTTCTGCAGGCACAAAACATCCAAACACCAGAGGAACACTGCGTCGGAAACCCAATGTCTTCGATACCAGCAATATGTCGAACCTGTCTCGATCCAGAGGGTCGATATTTCCAAATTTCCGATTATGTGGATGAGAGCTTGAGTATCATCGAAATTCTAGATGTAATTGTGCCCCAAATTCGTATCATGGAAGAAAAGCATTCTGAATTTGCGCCACTTATATGCGAGGAATGTTTGGAAAAGTTGTTGCAGTCTTACAGATTTCAACAGCTGTGTATTGATGCTGACAACCAATTAAGGAAACTGTTTGAAGAGGATGCAGAGAGCCAGGAAATGCAGATGGACACCAAAACGCCAATAGAATTTTTGGTAGATGAAAAGAACGATGTTAAAGTGGAAATTGAATATGTAATTGAAAGTAGCGAAGTTAAGGACATAGTTAATCCAAATGTGGAGACCTGGTAAGTAGGAGTACTTAAATTATTTCATACTCAATCAAAATGAAATAATTTTTCTTTAGTATAGAGTTGGCAAATGGCTCCAATGAAGATGAAACAGAAGAGGAACATATTGAAGTCGTTGAAAATACTGAGGAAATAATTGACATCTTGGAATCAAATACACCTCCAATGTAAGTTCCAAACGATTCCATAGGCAGAAGAAAACACATTTTTTTTATTTTTAGCTCCGACACACAACATTTCTGCAGGAACTGTGATAAGAAATTTGAAAGTTTATCCTGTTTCAAAGCCCATTGTTGCTCGAAACCCGTAGTCCGTTCAGTTTTCAATTGTGAAATGTGTCATATCACTTTTCCAAATGACAAAACCTACAAAGCCCACATACTTGAGCACGAGGAAGAGGAAAACAATAACATCAATGTTGATAATAATGAAAATGTCCTGGGAGAAGATGAAGTAGAAGTTGACATAGACCAAATGATAACCAAAGAAGCAGAAGAGGAGCACTTAAAGGAGGACACAGCTGAAGAGGAGGTTGGAACAGAGACAATCATAGATAATTGGTCTGATCTTAAGTGAGTAGAATTTAAATAGCCTCCAAACTGATTTTTTTTCTAAAAAATGTCTATTTTTCTTCCGTTACAGTGACAATAGTGATGAGTATACGATCACAAACGAGCAAAACTCTTCCGCAGGAGACTGTGAAGAAGCCTTGATAGAAAAGTAACTAAAAATGAATTTTTAATTTTATACAATAGCAACATAATGTCTCCATCCCTTCATTTAACAGGGCAAGTGATAAAAATCGCCGTAATTGTCGCTATCCATGTGAGGTGTGTGGAAAGATTTATGATCGTATATCGCGTCTACAACGCCACAGCCGAGTCCATTCGCTGCATAAAAAGTATGAATGTGAAATATGTAAGGCACGCTTCTCCACTGCCAGTTACCTGAAAATCCATCAAGATAAACATTTACAACAGGACCACGCTAACGAAACACCTCCGCCCGGTGGCTACAAATGTCCCGATTGTCCAAGACGATTTGAAAAATTAACTGCCTTATCCGGACATCGACGTTCACATTCCGATAAACAGCAGATAACCAAGAAATTACTCTGCAACTACTGTCAACGTAAGTTTCTGTCAGAGAAAACCCTAACGGAGCACATACGTAACAAACATCCCGATGAGAAATACATGTGTGATCAATGTGATCGCACATTTGTCCTGCACTCGAAACTCATAGAGCATCTTAGCGTACATCGTGAACTTATTTGTGATATTTGCCAAAAGGAGTTTGCCTTCGAGAGTCTGCTAAAAGAACACATGCGCACTCACAGTGGAGAATGTCCATTTTTGTGTCCACAGTGCGGCAAGACATTTAAATGTGGTGGTAATTTACGTCAGCACATAGAACGCCACTCGACCGTTAAGAGACATGCCTGCCCCAGTTGTTCAAGACGTTTCAAATGTCGCACCGATTTGAAGAAACACATGTCCACACATCAGGGGGTGAAGAATTATGTCTGTGATATCTGTGGTATTCGCTTTACCCGAGCATTTAGTATGGAACAACACAAACGTTTGCATATGACGAGTAAGTTGACTCATTCGTGCGATCTGTGTAATATGTCGTAAGTTTTGCTAATTTTGTAAATATGTAATATTTAATAAACAATAATTTTCAATTTGTTTACAGATTTAATACCGAGACAAATTTGAAGCGACATGTGCAACAAGTACATCCTAATGAAAATGGGAATTAGCATGGAAAATTGCAAATGAAGTAAATAGTTAAACAAATATATTTTGTGAATATAAAAGTAAGATTTCGCTGTAGACTATAATTTTGCATATAAGTTTATTTTTGTAATTTGTAAAAGGATATTCAAGTAGTGCATCTTAAATTCCTCCGTTCTTTTACATTAAAAGCCAGCCAGTTAAGACCTTGTTTTTAGTTTCACTTCTTTATTGCTTTAATAAGTTTCCAAAAAATATACAGTTTTCGCTATAATCTTGTAATTCATGAACACCTCTGGTGTAAACGTGTCAACTTCCTTTTAAGTAGCTATTTTCCGTCATAAATTGGTTATGGCAACTCTGTTACAGAGCAAACAGGTGTTTTCATATGATTCTTCTTCTTTCTGCTCAATGTCAATTATCGATCTAACGAACCCTATGTTGCCGGCCATTCCATTTTGATTTCATATTTTTATTAAGATGGCTTTTTTTTCAGAGCTGCCATATCGCAGAGTCTTTTATTCTTTATGTCTTTTCTCGATAGCGTTGGTTGGTGAATGTTTAAATATCAAATATTTTATGTACACTGGTGGCCAAAACTAAAGCAACTGAAATTACAAGGAGAATGAATGCCCTGTAACTTTTTCAAAAATAAAGAAAATGAGAAAGTTTTTCTTGTTTTAAATTAGGTACTTTATTCACTTTTTAAAAACCTAAAACATAAAACCAAAATTCATTTTTATATAAAAAATAATGTTTGGTAAAGTCAATTAACCCGATTTTGGCTTGGACAAAACAAAAGCAACTCTGTTGTACATTCATATAACCGCTGCAATTTCAGTTGTTTTTACTGTGATATTTATCGCTTTTTGCTTCCTGCGACAATTTCGCTTGTCATAAATCCTTTTTGAGAAGTTTTTTACAACAGTATGTGTTTTCTTTTCGTTTTTTAAGTACTGCCCAAAAAAATTTTAAAAATGTCTAAAAGTAAATACAGTACCTGAATAAAACAGCAAATTATCAGTGACTATCAAAAGAACATATTACAGAAAATGATTTCCGAGAAATATTTCATAAATATTTATGTCATTTCATAATTATTTCTGTATACTAAGTCGGTTTTTTGAAACTGGATCAGTAGTAACAGTCTATAACGGATGAAGGCCGTGAAAAACTTCAGTCCGTACTGATCCACAAATTGTGAGAGAAATAAAAAACAGCTATTTAAGAGTTCAACTGGATTGGTGAGAGAGCAATCATTGGATATAAGCTCGAGATCAGTGCGTAGACGAGTAGTGGCAGCTGGTCTGCATGCCCGTAAGACATCAAAAAACCATTTATATCTGAAAAAATCAAAAAGGCTTTCGGAAACAATAATATTAAGTGGAATCAAGCTCAATGGAAAAAACATTATTTCTGGGATGAGTCTACGTTTAATATTAACGGCTCAGACGTGAAAAAATTTACGGTGAGAAGACCAAAAATTAAAGACTCAAGCCGCAGTGTTGCAAAGGTACAGTGAAGCATGAGGGAGGGTCAAAAATGGCGTGGCGCTGTTTTTCGTTCTATGGACTTGGGCCTATCCATAAAATAAAGGAAGTTGTAGATCGGTTTGTTTACAAAGATGTGTTGGACATCACGTTGTTCCCTTACGCTGAGTAAAATATTCGGCTGATTTGGGTATTTCAGCATGACAATGATCCCAAACATGTATCAAAACTTGTCAAATATTGGTTGCGGGAGTCAAAAATTCATGTTTTGTTAAGGCCGGCACAATCACCTGACCTAAACTCCTTAGAAAACCTTTGGAGTATCGTAGATAGGAAGATCAAGAGAGATTCGGAAATAAATAAGCACAACATTTTCTAAAGAATTCGGGTTGCCTGGGAAAGCACACCCAAGGATCAAATTGAGCGTGTTATAGATTTAATGCCTCGTAGGTGTGCAGCTGCTGCCAAAAATAATGTTTAAGCTATCAACTACTAGCCAAAATTTAATTATTTTAAAATAAAAAATAAAAGTTGCTTTAGTTTTGACCAAGCAAAAATTGGGTCATTTTAATTTTCCACATATTATTTTTCGTTCAAAATTATTTTTGTATTTTTATTTTTAGTTTCTTAAAAGTGAATTGAACCCCTCATTTAAAACTTAAAAAATAATTACGATTTGTTTATTTTTGTAAAAGTTACAGGACATTTATTGTCTTTGCGATTTAAGTTGCTTTAGTTTTGGCCACCAGTGTATATGTTTATATATGCATATATTTCATTGTCCCAGCATATGATATGTTGGTAGAGAATATTGAACTAACTTCTGGGTTCCAGTTAATGAATCTTCCAGCTGATTGCGTATACCCCATGTCTCATTCGTAAACTCTTCTATTTCTCTTTCGCTCAGCATTCGTAAACTCTGTCAATTTGTTTTCTGTTCATATTTAGCGGGTGATTTCTTTTGACATTCTTATTCGACTCGTTGGGAACGTTTTTCGGTTTGGGTGGAGATAGAGGAAATACGGACGCAGATTGCCCAAGTCCCACAAGTCCAACGCAGTAAGACTCCAGTCGTACCTTAGCCATGTCTACAATCCTATTGGGACGCATTTGTCGTACCTGCCTGTTGGAATCATCCACAATGCACAAATTACTCGACACCAGAGGCGACCAAACATTGCCCATTGAACAAATGCTGCAGCAAACTGTTCCAAACTTCGATTTGCCTCTGGATGATGTGGACATATGCCTGCCTGTAGAGATATGTGAAGACTGTTTGGAAAAACTAACAATAGCCTATGGCTTTCAGCAAATGTGTTTTGATAGCAATGAGAAATTGAGAAGTCTCATACATCAACAGAATGATGGGGAGGTGGAAGATGTTGTAATGGTGTCACATGTTGATAACGAATGTGACAAGGAAGATCATTTGAGCTTTGCTGGGCCAGGGGCACTTAAATTGGAACCCGGGGAAGAGTTTATACAAAAAGCCTTGGAACCTTGTGTTGAAACACAATTAGACGGCGACAAAGAGGAGGTGGTAGAAATACACAATTTGGATCAAATGAATGGTTCCGAAAATGGTGAGATTAAATTGGAGATAGAGGATTTTGAATGTGGAACAAGTGATTTTGGAGATTTTCACAATGCTGCTGAGGAGGATGATGACGAATACTGGCCAGCACACAATGAGGCAGAAGATACTGACAATAGCGCGAATGAGAAACACAAGGAAACCCCGGAAAATCCCAAGACCCGAAAATATAAAAAACGTTCGACATCAAATGATGCTAGTGATAAAATGTGTCCGCACTGCAACAAGGTTTTCAAAAAAAGGAATTTACTAAAGCGACACATTACTGTGCATAATGAAGAGTATGAATTTGTGTGCGATGCTTGTCAGTATCGCTTTCCAAGCGAAAAGTTACTTAAAGTTCATATATCGTATAAACACAATCGAGGTGTAACCTTAAGCGTGTCCGGTGGACCTTATCCTTGTCCGGATTGTTCGATGGTGTTCCAACAAACTCGTGCATTGGCTGCCCATCGAGTGGTACATGCGGAGAGGGATTTCAAGTGTCAGGTGTGTGATGTTATTTTGAAAACAATGTCGGCAGTGACACGCCACATGAACCACAAACATCCCGGCGTTCTGCCATACAAGTGTGAAATGTGTGATCAAGGCTTTCCCGTTGAATCTCACTACAAGGATCACATAAATTTACACAAAGGATTTAAGAAACACAAATGTGAACAATGTGATAAGAGTAAGTAACGTCAGCCTATAGCTTCTTAAAATTGTTAATATTTGTTTTCTGTCCCTTTAAGGTTTTCCCAACAGCACTGCCTTAAAAGATCACGAAAGATCCCATACCGGCGAATGTCCTTATCTTTGTTCGCATTGCGGCAAATCCTTTAAAACCTCTAATATTTTACGGCAACATTTACAACGGCATGGTGAAAAGAACTTCCAATGTCCCGAATGTCCAATGCGTTTCTATGTCAAGGTCAATTTGCAAAAACACATGTGCACACATTCCAAGGAGAAACCATTTGTTTGTGATACCTGTGGTTCATCATTTACCCGGGCAGATTCGCTAAAGACCCACAGGTTTAAGCACACCGGCGAGAGGCCCTTCAAATGTGAAGAGTGTAATATGAGGTAAGGGAACAATGTTATTTAAATTGTCCAAACTAATGGCCCCCTTAGCTTTGTTTTTAAACGTCATTTGCTACGCCACAAAATCACCCACACCGGCGAAAAGAAATACATGTGTACCTATTGTGATCGAGCCTATGCAGCAAGTGGTGACTTGGTGAAACATTTGAGAACTCATTTGGGTGAGAAGACATATCTCTGCGATGAGTGTCCCCAGGCGTTTAAATATCATTTGGATTTGAGAGATCACAAGAATCAACATTACAAGGAGAAACATGGTATGGCGGCAATGCAAGTAGAGGAAACGGAACCCACGGAAATTGATCATAGTTAAAGAAAAAAATTGTATTTCTGAGAATATATTATTTTCTTATTTAAATAAATATAATTTGAGTTTTGCTTTATTAAGGAATATAAATATAATTTAGTTTTGTATAAGAACAATGTATAAATATATGTTATAGCAAACGCATAGTGCTCGGTGGAGGTTATTTAGCAGTTCGGGTCATATTTTTGCAAGAGAAATCAGGCATTTCATTCAATTTCGCGCTATAAAAACCATTTTAAAAATTAAGAAAAATATCAAATTAAAGAAAACAACAACAACAGGAAGCGGGCATAGCTTCAGGATGTATTTCTGTAGTTTTACAAAGCTGTTCCACCTCCTTACTGTACCATGGTTTTGACTAGTGTCTCCACAATTGAATTTAAAAGTAGAAAAATACAAATATGTATTGAAAATATCAACAATTTCAGAAATTAAAAATATCCCTATGCACTTACTCATTCCGTCTAATAGCGCCTTTAGCAATTGATAAACTGCTGTTATCGTACTACTGACATGCAGACAAAAGTCGATTTATATAACCCTAATATAGGTCATTTGAATTGTTTTGATTTCTCCATTACCGGGTTTTTTCCCATTGACTTCCCTGTGTAGGAAGCGTATATAAATAATCCAATAAATACAAATTATAACAATCAAGAGATTAAATGCATAAAGAAAACATTTCCATTTAGATGTAAGCAAAGATAAGAATGAAACCGGTTAAAGGATAGTTCGAAGGGAACTAGTTCCTTTATACTGCTGTTTGTTCTTCTGAAAGCGCGCCCCTGATAGAGTGAAAGAAATTGAACTAGTTCACTTGGCTCTGCTCAATGAATATTTTCATTGAAGTAGTTGAAGCCGACAGAACACGTAAACAAAATAAAAAAATCTTTTAAATCCTTATAATCTTTTAAATTAAAATTATTTCAAGTTTTATATGCTTCCATTCCTGCATATAATTAGAGCTAAGGTGGGTTACAGATTATCAGCGCCTGGAAATTCCCAAATTGTGTGCATAGCCGGTGACTCCATTTTAGATATAATTAAATGAAGCAATAGTTCCAACCGGGAAGAAGTAGACATGTCAGCTACATTAAGGTATCGTGGCAATAAAAGCAATCTCATAGAGATTGCCAAAACCTTGGACGCTTTCAAAAAAGTTCCAGAGAAATACACAGAGACGACAGAAATTGGTGGAACACGTAAGTAAACTACTGATCAGTAAATCGATAAGCAAGGTCTTTGTGAAAACTTGAATCACATCAGGCTGAATAATTAAAGGGAGGACCACATATATATTAATCAGATTCCAATCTTTCATTACAGTTTCTCTAATCAGTAGATTATTGATTGTATTTTTGATCTACAAAGAGATCCAATATTATCAAGATGCCAATTTGAAATATGAATTTGTGCCAGATACAGAAACTGAAAAAGTTCAAATGCATGTCGATATAACTGTGGCCATGCCATGTGGATCTTTATCGGGTGTAGATTTAATGGATGAAACCCAGCAAGATGTCTTTGCCTATGGCACCTTGCAGCGACAGGATGTATGGTGGAAAATGGACATTGAGGCGAGAGAAGAATTTGAGCGACAACAACATTTAAACCATTTTCTGCGTGAACAGTATCATTCGGTAGCTGATGTTTTATTCAAAGATGTTATTAAATCACATGAAGTTACTAGCCAGCCCGAGAAAGAACATAGGGGACATGGTCTGCCTGATGAAAAATATGATGCTTGTCGCTTGCATGGTACTTTGGGAATACACAAAGTAGCGGGTGTTCTACACATGGTGGGTGGGGCTATGCCAGTCGTCGACATGATTGGAGATCATTTGATGATTGGTTTCCGGCGCCTACCGTCGAATTTTACACATCGCATTAATCGTTTGAGTTTTGGCCAGTACTCGAAACGTCTAATACAGCCCTTGGAGGGTGATGAGACTTTTGTGGCCGATGAATCGACAAGGGTACAATATTTTCTTAATATTGTACCCACTGAAATACATACAGCCTTTTCAACCATCAACACTTATCAGTATTCGGTTACGGAAAATATAAGAGTTTTAGGTATGTAAAAATATGAGTAGTTTATATGTAATTATTCAAATTTTTATTATATCTTTCAGATGGCGATGGCAGTTCGTATGGTTCTCCGGGGATTTACTTTAAATACGACTGGTCGGCATTGAAAATTATTGTGCGTACCGATCGTGAAAATATTATTAATTTTACAATACGATTATGTTCCATAATTTCGGGTATTATTGTAATATCAGGTGAGTTCTTTATATCAATGAGAAAAATGGAAATCAATAAATGATATATCATTACAGGAATATTGAATTTCATTTTAGTTTCGGTACAAAAGAAACTACTGTCCATATTTGCTCCCCAGCTGTTGCACATAAGACTGAAAGAATCTCCTGAGAATACGCCCTTGGCAAAACCTCATATTTTTAAGGAAGTTGTTGTACCACCAACTCAATTGGTCGTTAGCAACGACTTGATAACCAATGCCAATATAATGGCAACCAAAGTGGAGGCAATTATTCCTGCACTTAACAAAACAAATGAACAATAATTTAATTGTATTTGTAAGCATTCCAAAGAATCTCTTGTTTCATTATTGAAAATAAATGACGTTTTTTCTAAATAATTCATATGATTGGGTGGTATTGTCATTCCTAAAGCAAGACAGTCGTCGAATGCAGAATGTTTATTAAAGGAATGCCTGCAGAATTCCTTGAAAATATCACTTCCTATCCATTAACTTAGGTTTATTTTATGAACTATTAATTACGCTCATCCCAAAAGCGAAAAGCGAGCATAACGTTGGCATTGAGAAACACAGGTTTCTTTTTATTTTAATAAACTATCTATACGTTTATTCTAAACAGCTTTATTATTATTTAATTAAACAAGAAAAAATATAAATATTAAATTTTTGATGGTCACTTTATTATCATTCATTCTTTAACAAACTTCCATCTACTTGCTCATATGTCCCCCTACGCCGGTAGCCACCGCAAGCGATTTTCAAAATTTCCATAGAAGCCGATAATGTGTTGTTAACATCGGCCTGAGTGCCCAGACTGGGATTTACTTCGACCAAATCAAAACCTTGTACTCGCTTTGTATCACACAGTGTTTCAACGACATAGATGCCTTCACGCAACGACATGCCACCATAGACAGCTGTTCCAGTACTGGGAGCAATTCTACTATCCAAAGCATCAATATCAAAACTGATGTGGATTTTATTCTTCACATCCAGGGCATCCAAGGTCATTTCCATAATTTTCGATATGCCAAATTTATCGATGGACTGGAAAGGAACAAATGAAAAAGATTACAACTAAATGGAATAAAATAGATAAGCTAGGAGCCATGGTACAATGATATCAAGGTAGGGCTATGATACCATATGATTCTAATTTTTTTATTTTCTTGGCTTAATATGTCAACTTTTTTTGTTTATATATGTGTTTTATTTTCAATAACAAAAAGTTTGTTCAGAAAATATTCAAATTCGTGTGTTTTCAAAATGTTTATTTCAACGTATGCATCGACAAAAGCTAGAGTTTTTGTAGCAAAATAATCGTTTAGAGATATATAGTACATGATATTGAAATGAAGTGTTGACTTTCCATTCAGTTATCGCTTTTTTCAATTATTACTCAAATAAGGCAAAACAAGTTGTTTGATTTTTTATTGTTTTGATACCAATTCTGACATTACAAGCCAAACAGGTAGACCTCTATACTTGCAATTTTTTCAAAGTTGACCTACCTTCTCTTCATTGTACCATGCTAGGAGCTGATTTTCATTGACCTTATGCTTAGTTTATTAATAGTACATGAAATCATATTACTGCTAAGCTAAATATGGGTAAAGAAAAAACCGTCTAAATGCATCCACAATTTCGTGAAGGTCCCATGGGTCTTCAAAAGCATTTCAACAAATTTTCTATAGCATTTAAGCTCAGAAATACCAGTAACCAATTGATTCTGGTATATCGATGTTTTTCTCATTAGCCTATTGAATAAGCCTTAAGTTCAGGAAAAGTCTTAAGTGTTTGACCCCTAATGTATCTGTGTATATGGGAAAAACTATGCAATTTTAATAAGGAAACGATATCTAGATATTACAAACGATACTCCTCTATAAGAGATATGAAAACAATGAACAACAAAGGGCTCAACAGCATTTTTATTTGTTTATCTACTCTTGTCTAGGATTAAACATGATATTTTAAAAATTTGTTCATAATAGTTCACAAAAGTGAGGTTATGTCAAAGTTAAATTAAAAATAAAAAATGTATCAAATGTAATTAAATTTAATTAAATATATAGATTTCTTGAGAATACAGAAAAACTGCTAACATATAAACAAAGAAACTCCCTCATAATTTTTCTAAAATTATGTCTTGTTTCCAGATGTGACCCATCCTCAAAATGTAAGGTTATGATTAAGGAAGCAATATCAAAAGAATTTGATGGAAGAAGCGTCCCCAAGGCATTGGTATATAACAAATGATGATTTTTTCAATATTTTCAAAATACTTTCCGCGATTGAGTTTATTATTAAAAAAAATCAATCAGGAAATCTAAAATTATTTAGAAACAAATAATTAGGAAGTTCCTTAACATGATCTTTGTGCAGTAAATGTCATAAATAAATAAAAACTGCATTTTTATTAAATAAAATATTTTTACTTGATTCAATAAAAATGTTGAGGTTATGTTGAGGTTTAAATTGAAATTTTAAATTGATTGAAAATATTGGTGATTTTTTTTTTTGAAAATAAAGATATTTGATATCTTTTAAACCAAGAAAGTCTTTTAAGTCTTTTGTAACATAACCTCAACTTTTGAGTTGGGTGGCATTTCTTTTTAAATTTAAAGAAAGCATTTTCACTAATAAACAAATGTTGTTTTTATAAAAACAACAATAATGGGAATAAGCCTGACTATTTTGCAACAACAAAGAGAAAGCAAATCTTGGGAGGGTATAAAAGGTTTGTCATTTCGTTTGTAACACCTCGAAATATACATTTTAGATCCCACGAAGTATATATATTCTTGATCAGCATAAAATTCTATGTCGATTTAACAAAGTCCGTCCGTCTATCCGTCTGCAGAAATCATCCTAGCTTTTGAACGAAATGAACTAGATTAATACAGGTTTACTCATATGTATATTATGCCTGCAGGACTTTTGGTATTGAAAATGGGCCATGTAGGTCTACGTTTTGGTATAACTCCCATATAATGGTACCTCCCTATTTTCTGTATATTGGTGATTCAAGAGACATTATTCACCGAAATTTTTTCAAATTTGGTATTTGAAGTTCGTAATGGATACTACATCCTAAGACAGAAAATTGTCTGTGCAGGTCCACGCCTTCGTATAGCCGCCATATAATAGTACCTCCCGATATTCGGTATTTTGATGATTTTAGCGACATTATTCACCGGAAATGTTTCAAATTTGATATTTGAAGTTCATATTGGATACTACAGCCTATGACAGAAAATTGTCTGTGTAGATCCACGTCTTCGTAAAGCCCCCATATAATGGTACCTCCCTATTATCGGTATTTTGGTGATTTAAGCGACGTTATTCACCGGAATAGTTTCAAATTTAGTATTTGAAGTTCGTAATGGATGTTACAGCCTATGACAGAAAATTGTCTGTGCAGGTCCACGCCTTCGTATAGCCGCCATATAATAGTACCTCCCTATATTCGGTATTTTTATGATTTTAGCGACATTATTCACCGGATATGTTTCAAATTTGATATTTGAAGTTCGTAATGGATACTACAGCCTATGACAGAAAATTGTCTGTGCAGGTCCAGGTCTTCGTATAGGCCCCATATATCAGTACCTCCATATTTTCGGTATTTTGGTGATTTAAGCGACATTATTCACCGGAAATGTTTCAAATTTGATATTTGAAGTTCATATTGGATACTACAGCCTATGACAGAAAATTGTTTATCACTGCCCTAACGAGAATTTATTTCTTCCGTTACAACTTTGGCTCCCTTTCTTTTCAACAAAATCCACATTTTTTCGATTTGCAAAGCTTCAAGGTATAATAAAACTCTTTGTATCAAATCCCCCGACAGAGGTACTAATTTTTCAACATTGCATTTTTAATGTGACAGTAACAAAATACTGATCGTAATTTATGCCAAAACAAAACACAAAAAAATGTATAAGCACTGGTGTTACGATTCCATTGCAATAATGAACCATGTCCTATCCCACTGTATAAGAAACAAGCCAAGCAAAAAAAAGGGACAAATAGAAACCCAGCAAATGCCCAGTAAACCCTAATTTAGAAAACCACCCCTAAACTCCCCTACTACCATAGAAGACAACAACAGAAAAAAGGACATATGGAGAGAGGGGTTCATTAACATTTTTAGTGTGTGTGTGAGTGCGTGTGTGTTTGTGACTGGCTGGCCGGCCGGCCAAAAGTTACAGATGTTGTAACGATCACAAAGGATCATTAAAACCAAACATCAACAACCATAATAAGTAAGTAGAAACGACCCTCAACTTGGGGTGGTTTTGTGTTTGTTGCGATCCTGTGAGCATGTCCTTTAATTGTTAAGCCTGAATGCTACTAGGAAACCTGAATCAAATTCAAAGGTACAATTTTTGATCTTTACACATACACACACATAGAGACGCAAACTCAACCCCACACTTTGGCCCTCAGGTCCTTTGTAACCAATACACCCAAACATACTTACATCCATGGCATATGCTCGTATTCCCAATTTATTCAGAATATACGCCTCGTATGGGTCAATGTCCCGTAGACCAATGTATACCAACTGATCGGCACGCAAGCTGTAAATATACAAAAAATAAATAAAACAACAACAATAAGCAAGAATGTGAAAAAAAGAACAAGCAAAATGCATTTAGGACAAGAAGAATCATTGATGCATACAAAGTATTTTGTTGATAAAAAGGATATATAAGGACTTTTAAATAACGGTGTTTGCAGGAAATTGGTACGGTAGAACAAAAGAAATGTTATTCCAAAGTTATGGGGTTTTGCATATGAATGTAATCATTTTCAGGATTAAGAGACGAAGTCAAATTTGAAAACCAAAAATGTGGAAATTTAAGGCACAATAAATATTTTGCCGGGAAAATATCTCAGGTATTTGGTCAGATACATAAAGGAATTTTTGGGCAACATTTTCAATGCGAGTGCTTCTTTTTAAAAATCTGGTTATTTTAGTACAATCCACCGGCTACTTTAGCTGTATAAAAAAACTCTTTGACCCATGGAAAAGTAGTGTGCTAAAAAAATGTGTGAAATAAACGAGTGTAAACTCTTGTACAATTTGTACGATATCTCGAGTATTTACAGGGCTACTTCCAACTGTCATGTATGTATTATATAGTATTTTGTATTCTTTTGCTTTCAAAAGTTATAGCCCATTGAAATATTTCGCATAAAAATGTTTATAACTAATAAATTGCTAACATACGTATAAGTTGTACGATATCTTGGGTATTATGAGAGATACTTAAAATATTCAAGTACACAATTTAAAAACTAGATGTCACTCTTCCAAAAACAAATTTTTTCATGAAAATATGTGGAAAAATGTTTATAACTAATAAATTGCTAACATACGTATAAGTTGTACGATATCTTGGGTATTATGAGAGATACTTAAAATATTCAAGTACACAATTTAAAAACTAGATGTCACTCTTCCAAAAACAAATTTTTTCATGAAAATATGTGGAAAAATGTTTATAACTAATAAATTGCTAACATACGTATAAGTTGTACGATATCTTGGGTATTATGAGAGATACTTAAAATATTCAAGTACACAATTTAAAAACTAGATGTCACTCTTCCAAAAACAAATTTTTTCATGAAAATATGTGGAATATATCTCAAGTTATGACTGAAAGAAAGCAATAGTAGAAAATTTTCAAAAATTGTGATAATTGAAACACTCGTAATATTTTGACGATAACTCTGAGATTTGAATGGTTGCTTCGACATCAAATACACAATTTAAAAACTAGATGCCACTCTTCCAAAAACAACTTATTCCATGAAAATCTGTTGAATATATCTCAAGCTATGGCGGAAGGAAAGCATCGTCAGAAATTTTTCAAAAATTGTGATAATTGATACACTCATGTTATTTTGACAATAACTCAGACATTTGAATGGTTGCTTCAACACAAAGCACACAATTTGAAAGGTAGATGTCACTCTTCAAAAAGTAATTTATTCCCTGAAAATCTGTTGAATATATCTCAAGTTATGGTCAAAAGAAAGCATCGTCAGAAATTTTTCAAAAATTGTGATAGTTGAAACACTTGTGTTATTTTGACAATAACTCAGACATCTGAATGATTGCTTCAACACAAATTACACAATTTGAAAGCTAGATGTCACTCTTTAAAAAACAACTTACTTCATGAAAATCTGTTCAATATATTTAAATTTATGGCCGAAGGAAAGCAATAGCGGACAATTTTCAAAAATTGTGATAATTGACACACTCGTGTTATTTTGACAATAACTTAGGCATCTTAATAATTGCTTCAATACCGAGTACACAATTTAAAAACTAGATGTCGCTCTTCCAAAACAACTTACTTCATGAAAATCGGTTGAATATATCTAAAGTTATGACCGAAAGAAAGCAATAGCGGAAAATTTTCAAAAATTGTGATAATTGAAACACTCGTGTTATTTTGACAATAACTCAGGCATCTGAATGGTTGCTTCAACACCGAGTACACAATTTAAAAACTAGATTTCCCTCTTCCAAAAACAACTTACTTCATGAAAATCTGTTGAATATATCTCAAGTTATGGCCGAAGGAAAGCAATGTCGGAAAATTTTCAAAAATTGTGATAATTGAAACACTCGTGTTATTTTGGCAATAACTCTGAGATTTGAATGATTGCTTCAACACAAAGTACACAATTTAAAAACTAGATGGCCCTCTTCCCAAAACAACTTACTTTATGAAAATCTGTTGAATATATCTCAAGTTATGGCCGAAGGAAAACAATGCCGGAAATTTTTCAAAAATTGTGATAATTGAAACACTCGTAATATTTTGACGATAACTCTGAGATTTGAATGGTTGCTTCGTCATCAAATACACAATTTAAAAACTAGATGTCGCTCTTCCTAAAACAACTTACTTCATGAAAATCTGTTGTATATATCTAAAGTTATGGCCGAAGGAAAGCAATGTCGGAAATTTTTCAATAATTATGATAATTAAAACTCTCGTGTTATTTTGACAATAACTTAAGCATCTGGATGATTGCTTTAACACCGAGTACACAATTGAAAAACTAGTTGTCACTCTTCCAAAAAAAACTTACTTCATGAAAATCTGTTGTATATATCTCAAGTTATGGCCGAAGGAAAACAATGCCGGAAATTTTTCAAAAATTGTGATAATTGAAACACTCGTAATATTTTGACGATAACTCTGAGATTTGAATGGTTGCTTCGACATCAAATACACAATTTAAAAACTAGATGTCACTCTTCCAAAAACAACTTACTTCATGAAAATCTGTTGAATATATCTAAAGTTATGGCCGAAGGAAAGCAATAGTAGAAAATTTTCAAGAATTGTGATAATTGAAACACTCGTATTATTTTGACAATAACTCAGACATCTGAATGGTTGCTTCAACGCCGAGTACACCATTTTAAAAACTAGTTGCCACTCTTCCAAAAAAAAAAACTCACTTCATGAGAATCTATTGAATATATCTCAGGTTATGGCCGAAGGAAAGCAATAGCAGAAAATTTTCAAAAATTGTGATAACCAAAACACTCGTGTTATTTTGACAATAACTCAGGCATCTGAATGATTGCTGCAACACCGAGGACACAATTTAAAAACTAGGTGTCACTCTTCCAAAGACAACTTACTTCATGAAAATCTGTTGAATATATCTCAGGTTATGGCCGAAAGAAAGCAATAGCGGAAAACTTTCCAAACAAGTGAAAAATGCTCGAGAGTTAAATTTTTTGACTTTTGGATATCTCCCGTATTTGGAGGTCTACACCTTAAAAACTTGCCTTAATATAAAGGACTAAAATAATCTTGAAAAATATTCTATGCCAATAAATATTATATTTTAAAGATGGCGAGCAAGTCAGGAGGTTACCCATAGTGGTGAAACAGACTCCTTACATTTCAAAATATTTTAAAAAAGTTGTTCTGTATTCCGTTTTTTTTTTTTGGTTTATTGTCCAACAACAACAATAACTGCATGTGTACATGTAACTAGTCACCCTCGTGTCCGCAACCAATGATCGTTAAATTTAAGGTTATGTAATAAATTTTCTTCTTATCCTGATCTACAGACCACAGATGTGTTTCTCGGCTCGCTGTTCAATACGTGAGGGGGTTGAATTCATTGATATGGTCGCGTTTCTGTTGTTTAAGGACACGTGTTATGTACATATGATTAGGAATGTCTCGCGCGAGTTGTATTTTTTACAACTCCATATCTGCCCTCAAGCAAACAGCGGAGTGTTATGGACAGCTCATTGCAGCATCAATCATTCGTTACGTCTACGTTTTCTAAACTTCAGTAAGGTTTGACAAGGGTAATATCAGCTGGCTAGGATCAAAATTACATGGATATGCAATAACTTTATATAACAATGATGATTATTATAGGGATGCCAGAGTGCTATATTTGAACCATGAGTATTTTCCCGTAATAGTTTTCTCCGGACCATAACTTTGGTACTAGGTCATATCCGAGAACGAAATACAGCGATTTTAAAAGAAAATCTTCTGTTCTTTAAATAGAAATAAATTCCAGTGAAAGAGCTCATAAAGTACCAAAGGTATTGCAAAATATAAGAGGTACCTTAATATGTTCAATTGTGAGATTTTTGTCCGTAGTCACTTTTTAGGGTGCATAACTTTTGAACTGGTCTAAGTTATTTGATGATGTAATATGATTTTGAAATAGGAATATCTTATTCATAAACAGACGGAAATTCATTAGTCCAACTGATCTAATACCGGAGATATCCCAAAAATTTCAAAAATTCTTCATATTTTCATGTAGGGTAATTTTTTCCGTAATCATTTTCTACGAACCATAACTTTGGAACGGGCGCATGTATCTTACTGGATAAATGATGATTTTGAAAGAAGTATGTCTGATCTTTAAATCGATATAAATATTAGCGATATAGGTAATGAAATATTAAAGATATTCTAAAAATATTATAGCTACTTAAAATTTAAATGTATGTTAATATTTTCGGTAATTAGTTTCTAAGGGCTACAACTTTGGATCTAATATAGGCATCTTCATGCAATAACTTGACTTCTTAAAGAAGAATGTCTGATCTTCAAATTGATATACATTTCATCGCGGTAGGTTATAAAATACCAGAGTTATCCCAAAAACGTCACAGCTACTCAAACTTTTAATGTATGCCAACTTTTTCCGCTACCTATTTCTACAGACTATATCTTTTGAACTGGACTTTGTACCTGAAAAAAGTAACTCGATATTTAAAGAAGACTGTATAATCTTTAATTTGAAGTAGATTATGTTATTGTAGGCACCGAAATACCAGAGTTATCGACAAGACTTTATAACTTCTTTTAACTTTAATTTATGCTTAGTTTTTCCGTTACTTTTTTCTAGACGCCATAACTTTGGAACTGATTTACAAATCTTAATGCTATAACTTGATTTTAAAAGAAGAATGTTTGATCTTCAATTTGACATAACTTTGATCGATGTAGCCAATGAAATACCAGAGTTATCTTAAAAATTTCACAACTACTTAAATTTTTAA